GTGTGTGTTACACCCATGCCCTCTGTGTGTGTGTTACACCCATGCTCTGTGTGTGTGTGTGTGTGTGTTTAAAGAACGAAATTATAAAGCAAGCTATCAAATTTAAAACCAGCTATGCACGGCAGTACATCCCACATCTGGGAGACTGAGACAGAAGTCCTAGGCTGAGACCAGCTTGGGCTACATAGCAAGAATCTGTCTGAAAAACAAGTAAAGCCAACAAACAACAGAAAGGCAAAAAAAGACAGTGCTGACAGAATGAAGATAACAGACAAGCTAGGAGAAAATCTTTATGCAGCAAATACCTGAGAAAGGATTTGGATGTAAAACAGGCTAAGGATTTTATTGGCCGGATGTTGGTGGCACATGCCTTTAATCCCAGCACGGGAGGCAGAGGCAGGTGGATCTCTGTGAGTTTGAGACCAGCCTCTAAAAAGCAAGTTCCAGGAAAACCCCCAAAGCCCCAAAAAAACCCTGTTAAAAAAAAAAAAAAAAAAAAAAAAAAAAAAAAAAGGTCTCACTACCCCAGATGTTGTTAAAATATTAGAGAGGAGGGTTGGCAGTGTGGTTCAGTGAAGCATTTACTTAATATACAAAAGGCCTGGGGCTGATCCCTAGTACCTCAAAAAGCAAGCAAGCAATAAAAAGAATGTAGAGGAGCTGGGCTCTCACACAGTTGGCAGGAATGTTAAACAGCACAGCTACTTTACAAAACAGCTAAGAATTTTCTCTAAAAGTTAAGCACTTGCCTGGCTTGGTGTCTCACCCATTAATCCCAGCACTCAGTGTTGTTCTTTTGCTGCCGTTACAGGGGATGGAACATGGACCACCAGACTCAACAAATCCATGTGGAGTTTATTGGAGGTGTTGGCTAACTAGGAACAGAGACGGAAGGGGTGGGCACGAAGGGGGAAGAAGAAGAAGAGGAGGAGGAGGAAGGGGCGAACAGGTGGAGTGCTCACCTGTGTACAGACTCCTTACACAGCCATGTAATGCATGTGTAGCCATGGCATAACACAGGACCCTTTGAGCTGCCTAAGTATCTGCCGGAATGCCTGTGCAAGGGGGGCGGGGTCAGCATAATGCAAGGATACTAACTCAGGAGACTGAAGCAGGCAGATCTCTGTGTGACTTTGAGACCAGCCTGGGTCTACACAGTTAGCTTCCAGCCAGCAAGACTACATAGTGAGACCCTGTCTCAAAAACAGACAAACAAACATACCAAGTTAAGCAGAGCATAATGGAATTTTAGGGCATCGAACTATTCTGTATGATACTATAATGACCCTGAAAACACAACATACAAGTAAATATTAGACTGAGCTCTCTCTCTCTCTCTCTCTCTCACACACACACACACACACACACACACACACACACACACACCGTATGTAACTATAATTGAAGAAAAAGAGAACATAAATTTGAAGGAGAGCAAGGTGGGGGATATTGAAGGTCTTGATGGGAAGAAAGGAAAGGGGAAATGACATACTTATAATCTCAAAAAAATTGCAAAAGAAAATGCAACCTAATTCATAGTCATAGCGGGCAATCTGCTTATTAGTTGCCAACAGCAGGGTGATGGGTTATAAGGGGCTTAGGAAAGCTTTTAGGACTAATGGTTATGAACAACAACAGTTATGGGCTGTAGTGATACTTTTCATATACATGTCAGATTATCTACTTTTAGTATTCACAGTTTGTTGTCTGTCAGTTATATCCCCAACCCAAAGCTACTGTTAGGATGGCTCCAAGATCAAGAAAGATGTGAGTTAGAGATTCTGACTTCACCTCCTCTTGCTATCCAGGCTGTGCTTAGACAGCTGAACCAAGAGCGTGGTCCCGCCCGCTTCCTCTAAGCTCCGTGCCAGGGCTTTACAGACTCCAAATGTGCATTTCACAGAGGCAGTAAGGGGCAGCCTGCCGCCCTGCTCTGAATCCTTATCACCTCTCCTCATCCTGTCCCCGTGTTTAAACAGCTATGCAACGTCATGTTCTTAGGAGAGTCCAGCTTCACCCCACCCCTACCCTGAGAAAGACTTCAAATTCAGTAACTGTAAGAAAGCTAGCACAGACAGACCAGTTTTACAGTGTTTACAGAGCTCTGCCAGAGGGGAGGCCCCACCAGAGACTGAAGTCGTCAGTCATGTTATTTCTGCTCTTTTGCAAGTGTAGATAGGAACAGGAAAACACTTGGCTATCGCATTATCTGTTACAATCAGGTTCAACTGCCTGCAACAGAAAATCTAGTCGTTTACATACAAGGATTTATTCTCTTTGCTTTACAAAGAGTGGGAGTCAGGTGCTATTCAGTTAGCTCTTTGAAGTTATCTGTGTCTCTGCCTTCTGTCTTCTCTGGCATGTGACTTCCATCTTCAAGGTCACATGATGGCTGCTGAAGTTTCTGCTCTGAGTGGTAGTGGGGACTTGGGGGGTGGGGTGAGGCAGGGAGTGGCTGAGGGAGGTGCCTGGTCATCTTGGGGGTGGGGCAGGGAGTGGCTGAGGGAAGTAGGTTCCTGATCACCTTGGGAGACACAGCCAGACTGCAGGAAAGGAGGGAGCAGGGCGCCACTCTATCGGAAGGGCAGGTGCCTGATGAGGAGTCGGAGACAGGGCAGTTTAGAGCAGGTGGGCTCTGAAACAGCGCAGCTGCAGTGTGAGGACCCCATCTTCGGATGACAAGGCTTCTCTTTCCCTGAAGAGCTGCTGCGGAAAGAGTATCTCTGCCGTGCTGTGGGCCAGGCTCAGGACCGAGCCTGCACTAATGCACAGTCTCAAGTGCCCCTCCTTCTCTGTGCTGCTGTCAGGCTGTGAGCACGCGACCCACACAGTGTTTCTAGTCTATGGGGCAGAAACAGAAGGAAGGCTCCTTGCCTATGATCAGATTCTTTTGTTTTGTTTTCCGAAAAATATCCCCATCCTGCCCGCACTCCAGAACCAAAGGTCTTTTACCTGCTAGGCAAGCTCTCTACTGCGGAACTACATACCCAGCCTGTTCGTGTTCTTAAAAAGTGTTAACGGGTCCACAAATTCATAAAGATGGCTGTCATGAGGGTGGTGGTGGATCTATTCAACGGCGAAGATTTTCTTGGTTTTGGCTCTGTGGTCCCAGTACTCCCAAGGTTGCTTTGTCCTGTTCAGCTCTAAGCTCTCCTGCTGCAGTTAGTGAAAGAGACCAGTATGAATCCAGCCACACTCCAGAGGCCCCTGAACACAAGATCTGGGGACCTGGAAGGGACGGCCCTAGACTTTGGGCCTGCCCAAATTCAGCACTGAAGTGTAATTAATGGAGGAGCACATTGCCTTTGTGTAAAATAGATGTTAGCAGGGTGTATTGGTACATACCTTTTATCCCAACACTCAGGAAGCTGAGGCAGGTGGATCTCTGTCAATTTGAGTGCAGCTTGGTCTACATAGTGAGTTCTAGGACAGCTAGGGCTACGTAGAGACACTTTGTCTCAAAAAAAAAAAAAAATTTGGGCTAGAGAGATGGCTCAGTAGTTAAGAATACTGGCTGCTCTTGCAGAGGACCAGGGTTAATTCCCAGCATACTTACTCACAACCATCTGTAACTCCAGTTTCAGGGGATCTGATGCCTTCTTTTGACTTCTATGGGCACTACGCATGCACATGGCGCACATACATACATGAAAACAAAACAAAAAAAACACTCTCACGCATAAAATAATAAATCTAAAAGGAAATTTCAAAAATTGAAAAATAAAATACATTTTAGAGAGAAGTACTGATATAAAGCAAAATAAATGTCTCTCCTTCACACAGCAATGCTCCCTGGGGATCATCACAGGGTCTCTGGCATATCTTTCCAGAATCTTCTACAGACATTTATTCTGTTGATTGCATTTGCAAGAATATTACTTATAAATGATTCACTTAGTAACAATAATGACTGATAATGTATCAGATGCACCTTATTTATATTGAAATGGGAAGCAGAAAACTAAAACAGCTAAAAACAATAGAAGTTGACAATTCTTCCAGAGTGCAGTTTTGGAAATGACCACCAGGTGTCCTACTACTGGAAAGTTACAAGAGGGAAGGTGGCCACCGAAAATGTGGGTGACTCCTCCCTGGGCAGCTGCTTTGGCCCTTGGCCCAGTGTCTCGTCTACTGGCCTAGGGGTGGTCTAGGAAAGGGAAGCTAAGAAAAACACTGGGTTATCAGGCCATGCACTCACATCCAGCTGGCCTCCCTGGTCGCTAGAGAAGCTGCTCAAAACTGTCAAATCTCCGTGAGACATACAAACGTGGTCGGGCTCAGTCCTCCTGTCACGGCAGGGCTGCTTTCTGAAGTCAAGACACGGTTGCTGTCCCATAGTTGGGGAACAGCCCTCCTGTTTCGGGAGGGACATCCAGTTCTGGGTAGACAGAGATCTGTGTAAGGACAACAGCAGCTCTTGCCACTTCCTAGTTGACTCAGCACCAGTTTCCTGTCCAGGCCCAGGCTGCCATCTCCAGATGCTGGTCGGAAAGCCCAACCCCCACAGGCAGCATACGGGCATCCCATTCAAACTCTCAGGCTGCTGCTCCCCTTTGCTGATCCCGAATGGCCTCCACCCCTGGGTTCCCAGCTCTACAGAGCAGACACCATGTGGAGAACAGAGTGGCTCCTGGGAGCAAGCTTTCTCCTGCACCTCCCTGGACTGCCAGCATCCAAAGGGGGACAGGGGACAGGGCACAGTTACAGAGGGGCTCCAGCATGAGAGACCTCATCCTAGGAAGGTATAGTGGGCCCTGGGGGAACAGGAGAAATGTTTTGAAGAGGCAGGCAAATTTTTATGTGCTCTCCCAATGAGCATTTGTCTTGGGCGCTCCTTGGACCACATCCTACTTCTGGGCCTTAGACGATGGAAAGGGTGACACAGAATTCAGACCCACCGCAAATGGAGGCATAGCAACACCATATGCCTGTGGAAGGGACAGGACTGCGGCCCTTCCCAGGCAATGACCATTCCAGTTCTACTTGAGACATCCATGCTTTCTGACTGGAGAGTTAAGGTGACCTTTTTATGTGAGTTGAATGTCCATATCTGCCTAACTGGCATATACTATATGGGCTACATGAAGCAACTGTAATTATTTTAGTCACTACATGCTTTAAAAGCTATCTACATAATTTAAAATGACACATCTGTGATGCCATACACATAGTAAAAATGCTGGTTATTATTAAAACATAGGTTCTATTCACACTCAAATAAGATTACACAGGGTGTTTGATGTCCCATACATAATGTATAAGCCAGTGCTTCATGTAATAATATAAAGGGGATAAAACAATGCTTACATTGGGATGGACGTTAACTTACCATGCGGGATAATAGCTGTGCTTTGATGTGGTCTACAAAGGAATGGCAACTAGGACACCCCCCCCCCCATTATCCTATCACACGTGATGCATGAGGTGTGGGAGAAAGAACCTCTCGTAATATCACCCACACTCTAGCCCTGATGATGGCGCCAGGAATGTGCCCCATCAGGCGAGGGAGGCTGAGCCAATCCAGCTGTCCCTCTTGCTGGCCATTGTTTCAACTGCTTGGTGACCCCTGGATAATACTGAACCAGCCAAAGAGCATCCAGACATCCGAAAAGCCTTGCTTTCAGTCACAAGTGCCACTTCATTGAGCCATTCAAATGACAAGGGCCAACAGAGACTTCACAGGTCCACAAGGACCTGAACTCTTTAGAAAAGGAGTGGTGGGGGCTGAGAGGGGAAGGAAGGGATTCAGCTCCACCTTACAGAATCAAATACCTGCTTGCCCACCCTCCAAGTTAATCACGAGTTAGGCCTGTGAGTCATCCAAGAGGTAGGCGGTCATGTCGCGTTTGCCACGTGTGGTATCCTAATGACAACAGCTCCATCCTCGGCTAATCCTTTTTTAAATGGCTCCACCTCCAAGCCCACGGTCAGCAGACAAAGGCCAGCATCACATCTCCAAAGTTTCCTAGTCAGGACCATGGGGCGTGTCCCTTCTAGAGAGTGAGTCAGGAAATTGCTGAGGTGAACATACAAAAACAGCACTTCCCGCATCAGATGCCAGCCTGGCACACAAGGTCAGGCTAAATGCTCAGGCAGGTTCTGGTCACGAGCATCCCTCCCACGTGGACAGGTGGCCTTCCTCATCTATAGTCAAAGAGCTTCTGAAGTGGTGACAAATAGCTGTGCTTGTTGACATGCAAAACAAAGCCAAAGGAAGCATTCCTCAGCAGGCCTCAGCTCAAGCTTTCCCGTCCTGCCAGCAAGAAAAGCAAACTGACTACACCAATGGAAATTGTAGCAAATGGGTTCCCTTGCTCCCTGGGAGGCTCATGACATTTCAATTACGTTTCAATACAATACAGCTGAATTATTTTTAACCTTACAGAGCCTCCTGGCTTTTCGAAAGAAAAGCAAGTTAGAGGAGTTGAAGGATACATAGAAGCAGAGGGGGTTGGAGGATGGGAGGCTTACCAATAACACAGGCCCATAAATAGTATTATTCTGATTTGGGTGGGCAGAGCAAGGCATCTTTTACTCAAGGAATCAAGTTAGTGGGACACCAGGTGCTCTTTGCATCTCAGAGTAGTAGAGTTCATTTCCTTCTGACATGTTCTCTGTGATTTTGGCTGGATCACAACAGAACAGTTCCAGACAATCCTATTGAAATTAAGAAATTCTCACTGCACCACCTTTTACACAGTTTTACCCAGAATCTAAGTAAACTGATCTCAAGTTGGGTACACTCCTTTAATCGAAGCACTCAGGAGGCAGAGGCAAGTGGATCTCCATGAGTTAGAGGCCAGCCTGGTCTACAGAGTGTGTTCCAGGACAACCTGTTACTGCAGGGCCCAGGGCAGCTTGGTACACACCTGCCACTTAGCTACACTGCTTCCATGACTCTAAGGCAATACCTGACCCCAGGAAAAGACCACAAACTGGGACCACCAAGGCTCCACCCAGGAATGGACCATCCAAGGAGAAAATACCTAACATTCCAACCATTGTAGATAGAATCACAAGATGTCCCTCAAGCCAGCATACACCCATCCCCTTTCACCAAGACACCCCTAGACAAACGACAGCGGATCAGGGGTCCTGAACCTGAGAAACCTCCCACCCCAACTGAGCTCAAGGCTCTCTGATAGTGCCAATGAGAGTCCAAATTCAAACTTGAATAAAGGCTCTTTGCTTTTTCATATGGGATTTGGTCTCCTTGTTGGATTTGGGAGGGTGGGAGATGAGGGGACACACTCCAAGATCTGGGCATAACATTACACAGAGAAATTCTGTCTTGAAAAACAAATAAATAAACAAGCAAACAAACTGATGGACAGTCTCAGTAGCCTGGGATGAAAGGCAACCGTTTTTCTTTTTTTTTTTTTTTTTTTTTTTTTTTCTTTTT